GTGGGGTGGTTTCTGTGCCCTCTGTTCTCTGCTATTGGTCTGTAGTAGCGTGCACCTTTTCTCCTCCCCTTCCTCCTCCTCCTCCTCCTCCCTTTGCTTCTTCTTCTTTTTGAGGCAAAGTCTCACTATGCAGTCCAGCCAGGCCTGACACTTACTTTGTAGCCCAGGGTGGCCTCGAACTCATAGCAATCCTCCGGCCTTAGCCTCCTGAGTGCTGGGATTGCAGGTGTGTGCCCCCATGTCTGTCTACCACGCTATTGTGAAAACTATGGCTGTAGAGTGTATTTTGAGATCGGGAATTACAATAATGGCTATTCAAGGTCTTTTGTATTTTCACGTGAATTTTAAGAATGTCTTTTGAAATGTCTTTTGAATTGGTGAAATATAATGTTACCAGATGTGAGCCCAGATGTTCGCTCTCACTTGAGAGTATTCATCAGTTAAAACTCCTTTCTTAAATATACTGGTGAAAAGACCGAGTTTGAAATACTTGCAGTCAGAACTAGCGCAGTCGGTGACTGAGGTTACACTACTTTCCGTTTGATAGGAACTCCCTCTGAGTTTAGACTGCTGAGCAGAGACCCCCTCTGAGTTTTAGCTCTCTGTACTTGATAGGAAAGAAGAAAAATTGCCTTTTCCCCAGTGATCTATCTAAATGGAAATACTATCCTTTAAAGTAATTTAGGGCTCATGAGTGAGTATAGGAAAAATAGAATATTAGTTTTCTTAGTTAGAAATACAAGTGAGCACATACAGGACGGCACAAACAAGGAAAACTTGCCTACAATTCCAAAATCTAAGTGTCGCTGATTTCTTCTGAAAATAGTCAGAAGGAACTATTCTATGTTACTCTCCGAGCTTCTGATATCCTCTGGTGATCCTTGGCTTGAAGATGTTATTTATGCTGCATCTTTACATTCTCTGTACAGTGAAATCTTTTCATAAAGATGCAAGTTGTACTGGAGGGGGGACCACTCCGCTTCACCCTGGATTCATTGTTTTCGTATCTGAAACATTTCCAGAATAGATCACACTCTGAGGTAGAGAGTGAGGAACTCAACACATAAGCTTTTGAAATACCCAGTTTAGTCTGTAAAATAATGTTTTTTAAACGTTTATTATAGATAAAACTCTCTAATAAGGCTAGCATTTTATTTTATTTTTTTTACCTTCTGTGACAATTTTCAATTATATCAGTACCTACAGATGGGAAGTAATTTGTATCTTCATCCACCGAGAGATAATTCAGTTCGTGAGGACCTGAGGATTTGCAATTATTAGGATAACTCTGATTTTGATATTTCTGACATTTTAAGCATTGCTAATAACTATTTTCTTAAAATAAGATGTGGTCTAGATGCTGTTTAGAAAATTGGTAATTAGCCTCATTTTCAAATAGATATTCAGCCAGCATTTCTATTAAACCTAGCAAATATTTATAATTTTTCTTTTGGACATTTCTGTGTATTAAGCAAATTACTTTTCCAAATCTCATAAAATGACAGGACTGGTTTGTTTTCCAAGGAGGAGAAGCTTACATTTTCACTTCTGGGCACTCTTCAGTTCTCACATGGAGGGGTAACATTAATGCACCCCACTGGAAATCTCAAGGAAAACCTTGAAACCACCCCACTGAAATCAGTAATCTGCTAGTTGACGGATTCAAACAATTCCAAGTTCTGTGGTAGCGTTCGCCCTTATATCTTGCATGAATTCTTCAGAGGTGCTGTTCATGCATGAAACCCTTCAACACCATTTTACCTTCTCATCACCGGTAAGATTGAATAGTTTCTAGCTATTTGTCTTTTCCCTACAATCCCTACCATGGCTAATTCCATAAAAACTACAAAAGCCTTCAAAGAGCGATTCTTATACTGTCATTTTTCCTCCTTATGCCTGGTTCATTTTTGCAATTAAGTTTGTTTTAGACATTGTAATGATTCCATTCATTGCAGGGAATTTATACGTGTGAAAGACATATCTGGATTCTTTTTTCCCATTCTCCTGCCCTACTTCAATTCCTCCTCCCTTCTTATTAACAAAAGCTTTGTTTCCATTTTCAGGTCTAATTCTGTCACCAAATTCTATAACTTTATTCCTTTTTTTCCTACTATAGCCACCTTTCCAGGATACCTTAAACACATTGTTATCTTAAATTCAACTGACACTTTAATACTGTACATACCCCACATCCACGTTCATGTACTAAGTTTCTATGGAACAGCAGCATCATTAAAATATCTTATGATTTTGCCAAATTCTAAGACCGCTCCCTAGGTTCTGGAGAATCCATATTATTCTCTCACGAGTGGAAATACAGCCTGTTCCTGGATATTGTTAATCCAATGCCGAGTGGGAATCCAGAGGAAATCCTAACATCTACAGTCTCACAGTTTTAGCTCGCATGCTAGTGCTTCCTTTTTGTCTTATTTTCATATTTAATTGATGAGATCTTTTGAGTATCAAGCGCCTGTTGTGAAGACCCAATTGTGAAAGTTTATCACTTTAAAATGTGCGTTACTTTTTTACTTGTATTTCTACTAAAAGGAGAAATAAAAAATATCTCTGAAAACTAAAATAATATTGTATTCTGAGTACCATATAGCTAAATACACATTTAAAATGTGATGATTTAATGATTTTGCATTTTATCATGGAAATGTGTTTTCTATTTTCTATTTCTGCTAGGAATATATGTTATGCTTTTGAAATGACTTCTCAGTGTTTATTACAATTTTCCTATTGTCTTAAGTTACTTGCTAAGTTAATATGTTGTAAGGTAGTAATACAATTATGATATCATCTTTCCTTAAGTTTAAGGTTGCATTTTAGCATATCTAAATTACAACTATTAGCCCTATCAGATTACTTATGTAGATCTTAATGTGATACTTTATTTTCTGTTTCCTTACTTTTGTAATTAATGTTACTAAATCAAATATGCTTCATTAATAATGGTTTAGTTAAATCAAGAAAAATGTTATAAAATAACTCTTGTGGCCCATGTTTGAAAGTGATGATTTCTTTAGTCACTAATTTTATATTCCATAGCTTCAAAATTATGTATTATATGTTATATAACTATACTTATGAGATTATATATCAGTGTATGTTCCTTTTTTGCTCAGGGCAACCTGAATTTTATAGTGATTTTTCTATTCCACGGACAATGTATTTTCCTCTTAAATGTATCAGAATTAGGATTTACAGATACACTTTCATGTATGGATATGTGATTCACACACAGACATCACTCATGTACTTCGAACTGAAGTACTTGCTTTCTGTAGAATGTGATAAATATATTGTGTTAAGTATGAGCCCTACGATTGGTTATACATTGTAGCCTAAATTAGGTATTATTATTTTTGTTTAAAAAAAAAACTTGAAACTTATCACCACACATTAAGATGAGTTTGAAAATATAATGTAAATCTGGTATTTAAATAAAATATGAGTCATAGCAATTCACTGGACCGTATCTCCAAGTCTAGAAGTGTGTAGGATGCACTCTGGTGAGGTAAGAGAAACACGTCTGAGATTCCTGAGAAGCAGTCAGGAGGGAGAAGGCTGGAAGAAGGAGATGCCTGACCATCACCAACAGGAGCCTGAGGACTCAGCGAGTGAGGCCGACGCTTGTCACCAGAGGGCGCGCTTGCGCCAGCACGCAAACCCTTCTGAAAATAGTGCACCTGCCCCTGGGGAGCAACCCAGGCCAGCCCGGAGCCCGCATGGCCTGGCCCTGCACAAGGGCTGCGGAGAAGCGGGCACTCGGAGTCAGAAGCTGCCCAAACCATGTCACTCTTTCGGGGTATCACTCAAGAGTGAACGAGAAATGTGAGTGCTGTGCCAACAGAGCCGCTCAAAGATCTAGAAAAATATCTCACCTATCTTGGTGAAAGAAATAATGAAAAGCGATTGTATTTACTGAAATCAAGGGCAACTCACTACCTAATGTGTCGTCTCAGAGTAGAAGGATAAAGTAAGGGGGAATTGGGGATTTGATCCCAAAACATATAAACATATGTCTAAATGATTGACAGGGCACCTATGACTCAGTTGCTTAAAAGGTCTTGGGACTATAAACCGCACATACACTCTCAAAATCCCAAGGGTTAGCCTACTTTCCGATGTCTAATGTCTATGAGCTTAAGTGTTCCAGTGAGATTTTTAAACTGACACATAAAATTTTATGTATGCTTTGTACATGTTTTGAAATACTACGTATGGCAAATGTTAAAAGTATCTAGCTAATGTGCATGGCTTCACACAGTCATATTTTTGTGTGTGATGAGAACACTTAATATCAACTTTGTAGTTTTCAAGAGAATGCAGTATTTCACTGTTAACTAGTCATTGTGCTGTATAATTGACCTCTTGAATCTTTTTTCCTGTCTAACTTTAGTGTTCATCTTTAGTAACCTTCACCAACAGACTCTTCTTTCTAACGACCTTATGATACACGTGCCTGTATCTGGGTATTTTAAACATAGAAACATTAGAGCACTCAATAGTATTTTATAAACCAAAATGGAGTATTCTTATTTCAAAAAATGGCCAAAACTTAACTTACACTTTAGTGCACAACAAAACTATTTTAAATTTTTTAACTTACTTATATGTTATTACTTTAGGATTCTGTCACAGATATCTTTACCTCAATTGCTTTTTAATTTCACGTTTCTGCACTGTTAAATTTGGATCCTTAAATTTCCAGTGAGTTCTATCGATATGTCATGTACTACCATCTGCCACTTAAAATTTCTACACTTTCTCTTCAGCAGTAACAAGCTAATAATAGTATTAATCTTATAATTCTAAGTAAAAATGCCATATACATATATTTTTGAGTTATATAGTACAGGAAACTTGTATGATAGCTTGCCAGGAATATGTCTGTCAGATATATAATGAACAACATTTCCAATTTAGTCAAGTATTAATCCACAATACTAAAATTCAGTGTTAAATTTCTAACTTCTAAATAAACAATTCAATAACAGAGTTTATTGAAAAATTTATTGCTATTTTGTTCATTGATTTACGCTGAGAAGTGTACACATGCCCAATGGGAATCTTGTAGACTCGCTGAGTTAAGAACGCTAGAGACAGATGCCTGATGGGACAGTGCGTGTGTGAGCTCCGTGTACAAATCAAAGCACTATGATTCCCGCAGTCTCCCCACCTCCAGTCAGCGGCTCACAGCACTTCTATGTTTAAACTCTATCAGGATTCCATCAGATGCCTGCTTGTAAAACCAGTTCTTGCTTTCTTTTCTTGTTTACTGCTTTTCTAGTATTTACCCATAAAGTTAGCTGAGGGATGGAAACTGTTTTTCCCCTCTCCAGCTCTGTGCGTGGTGCTGTCCAGGTGGACTATACGGTTTCAGAGAAAGTGGAACTGGTGTTACAATATGTTTCGTGTATCTGCTTGACTCAGTGGTCAAATACGAGTGCGGCATTTGAATTGATTACCAAGTGTATACATAATTACTCCTCTTTTGCATAGTGAAGAGGCAGTTTTTATATCTGATGTTTCTCCTTCACCAACGAAAAGGAATCAGCTCTTGAATGTCTGCTGGTTGTTTCATAGAAGGGTTTTAGCATTAGGAGCTACTTTAAAACATTAACCCACCAGTTACTGCAGTCTATTTACATGTATGTGATAGAGTATTAGGGAACTTAGGTTAAAAGTGAAAGAGTTTCCTTAGCTACACACACTGTGAGAAATAGATCCTTCTGAAAATATGCCATGTAGAAACAAGGTATTTTGTTGAGAATTTTACAAGTACTAAAAAGTATCATTATACAGTTTAAACACAGTTGCATATCAGTTAGCTATATTATACCTCCTGAACAATGTGGCCTTAGGTGATTTCACCTGTTTGATCATGGAGCATAGTTACACAGACAGAAATGTTATAGACCGCCACACACCTGGGCTAAAAGGCACACGGTATTGCTCTGGGGCTATAAAACTGCATCTAATCAGGATTGCACATAAAAAGGTACAAATATATATGGTACAGGCATGGAAGAGTTGTTCAAGGCAATCACCGTTTGTGGAGTTTCCTGGAAGTTTCTCAGAGTAAGTCAGTGAGTGTGTGCTAAGACATTGTGAATTGCGGAAACATGTCTCTGCACTGTGGGAGGCTTTATAATCTGGGCACGCAGGCCATGCAGAAATTATAAAAGTTGTTTATTTAGCAGTAAGTTAGCTGTTGTTCACTTGAAAATACTTCACTTTATAAACTTTTAAATATTTTTACCTTTAAACTCTTTTATAATAACATTTTAAAACACATTGTACTGCTTTACAAAACTGTAGTCTTTATATAATCATTCTGTAAGCTTTTTTCTATAGTTACACATTTTTTAAAATTTTAAAATAGTTTCTAACTTTATATTTTACTCCTAGAATTCATTTTATAACTTGCATTTTTTTAAAAAAAAAATAAGAGATGAGACCAGAGATTTAGGTCAGTGGTTCAAATGTTTGCCTGGCTAAGCACAATACTGTGAGTTTAATCCCTCATATAAAATAGTCAAGCCAAAACCTAACCAGCCAAACAAACAAACAACTAAGAGAAGACACTAGTCCTCAGTCTGCGCTGAGACATGGCCAGGATGGTCACTGTCCCTGCCTCCTGCCACCGCATCTCTCCCCACTGTGAGGTCTCAGGGTGACGTCACACAGCACCATTTCTGTGATAACCTCCATGACTGGCCGTGTAGTGAATCTGTTTGCATTGCCATCAACACAAATGCATGAGGAATACTTCGCCCTGTTCCATTCCACACTAGGAAGTTCTGAGTTCCACTATGACATTATGAGATTGATACCAAGATTGCAGACCAAAACGTTATACAGCTTCCTTCCTTAACTGATTCTGTTCCCCGCTAACATCTTTCACTTTGATTCGTTTTCTCTGATTGAATTTATAGTTCATATTCAACTTGAGGGTTCTACTTTTTGGAGATATTCTTGAGGTGCTTTCACCTCCTTTTGATGCCAGTGAATCAGTATGCGTGTTCACTCCTGCTTTCATCACAAACCTTGAGTAATTTATAAGCATCTGCCTCACCACGTTGCAATAAGAGTCAGTCCACTGCTCATTTGAAATAGTTTAGCCTTCAACAGTCACCTTTTAATTACAAACCTAAACTTCATTTAATCACCAGTTCTGTAGCTTTCTATGAACTTTTAAATATATTCAGTGATTTGATTTCTCCTAGAATTTTTCTTGACTTTTTCTTCACGGCACAGTAACTCGCATTCTGTTCTCCCCAATGGAAGTTAACTTTTCTTTTTCTTCTCACCGACTAGACAGATTCATTCTTTTTCTTCTTTCTGTTCTTCTAAGATAAATTTTCTCCAGTTTCTCACCAGGAATTCAGTTATGACATTATGTGAAGACATCCAACGTCTCTGAACTCAAGGTTCCTCTGGTAACTGTTTGCTATTTTTGCTTCTTTCCCGATGATTCACTAAGCCTTGGACATTTGTGGGCTCAAGTTCAGTGGCTTTCGCACTGCAGATTAGTGTTGACCTTCTACTTTACACGCTGTCCTGCTCCTCACGCTTCTGTTTCCTGACTTTTGGTCTGGCCCTGGATGTTTTAATTCTAATTCTGCCAAGAATTGCCTTACACTTCATTTCTACACTCCATTTCTGCAGTGTGAAGACAAACTCATGTTTTAGTGGCTGCTTAGAAAATTAGATCATATAATCTCAGCAGACAAAAGCACTTTAGCAATCACTAGCCAATACTTTCGCTTTTGAATAGAAACATAATGATAGCACTTGAGGACTTTCTCACTACCCACTGGTGAGTTAGCAGTTACAGGCCAGCTCTTCTGGGATGGCTACTTTCCAGGACTCTGTGCTATGACCTACAGATTTACAAAATAGTCAACTTGAAATTTTCAAATCCAGGGGACTGGGGATTTACCTCAGCGGCATAAGTACCTGCTTGCAAGCAGGCAGTCATGAGTTCAATCCCCAGTACCGATAAAAAAGGAAAAAGACAAAAAAAAAATTTTTTTCAAATCCAGCCATGTACAGTTGAACTTCCCACTGTTCTGACTCTGTGCCCACCTAACACACATAGCTGTGGTGCAGATTAAAGGTCTAAAAGGAGATGGGGTGTGAGTATGAAGCCCTGCCTAACAGAAGACAGTTGTCAGTATAATCAAATGCTCAATGTCTGCAACAGTTTGAGAACATTGTTTGCACATTTAAATGGTAACACTTCATACATAGCTCGCATTTACTCTATGAATTAGAGGTAAGTGTGCTAGTATATGTTTGTAATTTCAGCTACTCAGGTGGCTAAAATGAGAGATTCAATCTGGAGTTCCGGAGTAGCTTGGGCAAGATAGCAAGATCTCATCTCAAAGTAAAATAATAATAAAAAAACCCTATGAATTAACACACTCATATGTGAAAGTCTTCTTTCAAGGTCTCTCCAAGTAGAATGGCCCATCTCAACTCAACACGCCATTGCTCATGATATTACCAGGTCTGGAGAACCCTTTGACGCACTGTTTCTCATCTCTTTGTGTATATATTTTGTCATATGTTTTCATTGAGAAGACGAGTTCATTTCTGTGTTACCTTGATGTTGTGGATTGTTTAAATGTCTCCCCAAAGCCTCATTCAGTCGTGGAGCGGCTGAGTGTAGTTAGTGATTGGTTCCTTGTCTGTCACTGGGATTGGCAGTGTGAGTGCTGCACCCCTCAGGGGTGGGTAACCGGCATACGGTCCAGGGAGGAGGGAGGCTGGCCTTACCACTTCATGCCTGTTTGCTCTTATTGCGATGGCTGCCGTGAACAGTTGGCTCTCAGCCACGCCACTCTGCCATGGATCCAGCTGAGCACGGGCTGCAATCTCCAAAATCTGTAAGATAAATAAACGTTTCTATCCTTTGTTTTGAGTATCAGGTATGTTATCTCAACAACAAGAGAAGAGTAACCAAGACACTTGAATTAGACCTTGGATTTTCACTGTCCAGCAGAACGCAGAAGTGAATTTGTGAGTGCAGAGCCTGGTCTTTGAGAAGGCTTTCATCCAATTTAAGCTTTCTCAGCATGCTGCCCAAGGACCATAAGTGAAGCCAAGACAAATCTGCCCAGATGAGCCGCTGATATCACTCACATACCAAGACCCAAGCGTGTGATGCGAGACCGACAGTGTCACAGACAACAAGACCTTAGGTAAGCCCCACATTTGTAGTTACACGAGGATCCCATGCACCTTATTGGTGTGATATCAGCAGAAATATGTAGCGGATTTAAGCCGATTACCTTCTCACAGGATCATGAAGAAATTAAGTGGTTATTTTCCTTTAGCACAGTGACTCATAACTGGTTCATTTACTGTAATAGGTCAAATCTAGCACGTCATTTGAAGCAATGTCAACTGATGATTTTCATTACGACTTTTCTAATTACTATATACCTCTGATTGTCTTCCTGTATCAACATTAGTTTTGGAAATGTAATCTTAAAAATAATTACAATTTCAGAATTAGTTCACAAATATAGTCCTTGCCTATATGACTATGTATTTTAGCTCTTCCTGACAGAGAATGTGAAATTGGGGACCTAGTCCTTCAGTCAGCAATTACGGACCACGCTACAGCTACTTCTATCGTTTGTTGGCATTATATACATCAGACACCATTTGTAGTTCCCTGAACTCTGCAACTTAAAAACAATGATCATGCTTAGGAGAAAATGAGATGGAAAATGTATCAACTTACTGAAGTTCATAAATTGACAGTGAACAGAGTTAGATCTTGCCATCTGATGCCCAAAGTCATGCTTTGAACAACTTAAAGGCCTCTTTAAAACTACTCCATAACAAAGATCTTAGCTGTGGAAAAGAATCCACACTGTGGAAAACCAAATTGACATAGTCTAAATTTAAAACAATAATTTTGTAGTCACTGACCACTTCTTTTAAAAATCAAATTCTTATGTGTGGAAAATCACCAACATTCATATCTAGTTTCTCAGATGCTGTCAATCAGTATTATATTCTTGAGTGCTCGCATGCAGTCTTATTACTAACCATGTTGATATTTATCACGTTTACATCTCCTAAAATGTTTTCTCTATACTCCATCATTCTTTCAATTAACTCCATCACAAAGTCATGTCCTGCTAATTTTTATTTCAGGACACTTACTGTAGTAAACTTTGAATGCCATGTACAAAAGTGACACTTTTGGTCTGTTTTTGATGTAATAACAAGAGATGTCCTTTTAGAGAATTCAGAACTAATCATGAGACCCACTTGATATATAAACACTTTTGCCTACTTTGCAGTCCCTGCAGGTCATACACCTGTCACTAAGTAATTCTTCAACTCAGCTTTCCGTGTTTTATGCATTCTCACTCTGTATATGCTGCATTTCTGTTTTGTTAGAGGGCCCGTATTTCCCACCCAGGACTTGAAGCAAGCTGATGAATTCGAATTACAGAAATGAACAAAAGATATATTAAAATAGGAGATAAAATAAAACATATATCTCAGTTGTGCCTATTTCTCTTTTCTCTAGATTCAAAAACAAAAAAAAAAAAAAACAGCAAAAAGAAAAAAAACAGGAGAAGGCAAATAGAGAAGCAAAATTTGATGGTGAGATGTTTATTCAAGGAAGAAATAAAATGTTATTGCTCCATCCACTATTGAGTATTTCCAAACACAAAGGTTCTCCCCAAGGAATTTCAACAGATGAAAGAGGACTGGGATAAATGTACACGGTCCCCATTACCTGGCCAGTTACGTAGAAATATAACGCGGGATAAAGACCGTGAGCTCATGGCTCTTAGACTGAAGTGATTTTGCCAATGACAGGATAATATTACTAGGCCAAATGGAACAATCAACAAATGATGCATCATGGAGGGAAACAAATTGAAACAAATTTGAAAACGTAAAAGTATTGTCTTATTTTAAAAATTCAGAAAAGTAATCATAACACACACATACTTAAAACTGTAAGATACACAAAAGCCAAATAAATAACTTTTCAAAAACACATATTCTCACAATAAAACTTCTGTTGTAGTAAATGTTAAAAATATCAATTGTGAGTTTATTTGAGACTATAGAAGGTAAGATTAAAAAAATTTGGATTCAAGTTGAGGAATAGTGATGCTGAGAAATTTATTATGAAACTTAGGAAATACTAAACATAAGTAAGAATCATTATATGCCCGAAAATGAAAATATTTGTTCCAGAGTGCTAGGATTAATATTATTGTTATTATCAGTAGTATTAGTAATAGTGTTTTATTTGTGACAATATTTGAAGAAACTAACAAATACACAAATTGCTGAGAAATACACATACTTAAATTTTACTCAATGCTCAGTTTATGAATCCTATATGAGAACAAAAAATAAAAATCTTTAGATGAATGAAAGTTTAAGAGAGAAACTTTAAAACTCTAAAATATTTGTGAATTTCAAGCTCACATTATTCCCTGAGCTGCAGTTATAAATATTAGACCACTTACTGAAAGTTTTCACTAATGTATCGTAAAGATACTTCAACTTGAAAGTCAGCATGGAATTACAGCAGTGCCTCAATTCATTAACTTAATTTGTGCACAATTCTAAGGGAACATGGCTGCATGTTCATCGCCCGATGCAATGTTTGAGAACAGAAGCAAACTTTTGCCAAGTACTTCTGTTCACAAAACAAATTATTCACAAATAGAAGTGTTCATGAAAGGAGGCTTTACTGTATTTTGTTTTAAACATGTGTGCAGTCACTGTTGACTTTTTAAAATTAACGTTTTTATCTAGTTTTTGAAGCCTGAAGTTTGTGCGTCTTGTGTGAGTTTTATTTCATCGACTTCAAGTTTCACCAAACTTTCTACTAAACCCATCTTTTTTCATGGTTGTAACATGGCCCATGTTACCATTATTAACATGATTTTAAAACATACATCTGCTCCTATGTATCTGCTGGCTTGCTTGCTTTGGTCCAGTATCCAAAACATAGAAAACACACTTTAAAAACTAATCTCACAATGTTACTTCCATACTAATAATTAAGCAGTTGGTTTTTATTTTCCCTATAAACAAAAACAGGTTTCAGATGGCTCAGAACACCTGCTAAGCACAGGGCCCACCCATCTATCCTCCGAAAAAATTTGCCAGTGTCCTGTCCATCGTGATGATGAGATTTGATGTGTTCCTCCAAAGGCACACGTTCAGTGTTGTATCTTTGCCTCAACCTGTGCAGAGCTCTTTCATTCTGTATAATATATTCATCTTCCACTTTTCAGGTTAAATACTTCTTTTTCTAGAAAGACAATCCCCCTACGTGAGTAGGAACACATGCTTTCAGTGTCCTGTACTTGAGATTACTTGATGCTGTTTTAGAAAATGGGAAAATTTAAATAAGAAATTTTAAAAATACATGAAGCCACACATAATGCAACACACTTTTGGCGTCAGATCTTGGGATGTGGAGGTGGAAGCTTTGCTCAAGCTCACTAATTTGAGATCACTCTAAGCAATAGAGTGATACAATGAATTAAAACAATACCAAACTAAAACAACTATATTGTTCATTATGGTATAATAGATATTGCTGCCTGGAGCATGTAATTTTTATAAGCACCAAATTTCTACGTCTATGATATTTTCAGGAAATTGACACAGTATTTCCATGATTGTATTGCATTTGGATGAGAACACTTCAGTCCTCTGAAACTTTGTGCTTAATCACTATATAAAATATTATTCTGTTTTAATTTTTGATTCAGGAATTTACAGATGTACTGTTCTCCATTACATAGCTTATATACTACAAAATTCAGAAGGTGGTATATCTCTGGCTTATTGTGTAAATCAGCAAGAGATCAAATTGTTTTGTTAAAAAGATTTTAAAGTAATGGAAATTATATTTCTGCTAACATTGATGATAAAATTAAAAGGCAGAAGCAAGCAAATGAACTAGAAAAATTTACTCATCTATGGTTCCCTATCTCAGGATAAAAATGCTTGCAATTTGCTTTTACATATTAGACACAGATTGTGTGTGTGTGTGTGTGTGTGTGTGTGTGTGTGTGTGTTTGCATTTGTATTGTGTGCCTAAGAGATATTTTATAACCATTTAAAACTGTTTTCATTATCACTACAATTTAAAAATTCCTTCTTGTACATTGCGTTTACTTTTGAAAGAGAGATACGATGGGTACATACTGCATTGTATGCACAAATTATACAGTTATTTCATTTTCAATGAATAAGTTTCTACATACTAGTTTTCTAAAGAGTATGTTGGAATAAGATTTTATATTTCTCTTATTAGAATAAAATTTTTAGGATTAAAATACCTGAATACAATAGTCTGGCTTCACTTTTAAGGCAGTAATTGTTTCATAAATGAGTTGTATCTTTCTTCAATAATTGCTATGTTGTTTTACAAAATATTTAACCATTCTAAAATAATTTTAACACATATACCAGAGCAATTCTCCAAGAGCTGTTATTGACACCCTTGTGAATGTATAAAGGGACATTAATCATTATCACATTATCTTAATTACGGACAAAATATTGTTTAAAATTTTAATATGTTGCCTACGGAGATACAATCCTTGTGGGGAAATCTGCAGTAGCATACATAGAGCTGTGATATTTAATGTTTATTCAGTAAGGTGTCTTGATTATCACTGCTGTCTACAAAGTGTAATTATGGTCAGGACATATGATGGCAATGTTCCACTGAGTTTTAAAATGTTTCCTGTATTGCTCTAATGATATAGAATGTACATTTAAAATGAATGTTTTCTAAATGGGTATGCATGAGGCATGCAAATGTATGAATTTGCAAAGGGAGAAAATTATCTTTTTCAATCTTAAAATATATTCGTTGTTTTTTGCTCTAGCAACTGCAAAGTCAGGCATCTGTTACTGTTTGGCGTGGTGTTGAATTTCATGGTTTGCTAATTTTGCAGTTCTGTCTAAAAAGCTATTAGAGGGAAAATGGACCAGCCTTTTACATAGCAAAATTTGGAATATCCTCTGGGTATTTTTTTCTCCTTCAAATTCATTACACATTTCTCTCTTAAGTGAATGAGGTAAGTTTCTCTGTTTTTTTTAAGTTACCAAAAACTATTATGGAGTGGTAAACTTTAAACACAGGAAATATAATAAAACCAAGACTATATACCATTGGTTCTCTAATAGTGATTTTTAAGATACTTTTTCTACATACAGAGAAAGATAATATAAAATTTTATGTAATAAATGTATTTTCCCTTTTCACATGAATACAGTAAATGATATTTTCCTATTTTCCAGATATCTTGTTCATTATAGTGGGTTTTTGGGTAAAAATATGTTCATTCAACCATATCAACATTTCATTAGTCATTTAGTACACCCTGAACATACGTGGTGGCAGTCACAGGCCTTGCTGTGCTGATTCAGAGCTAAGGATCTCTCTAGGGTAAAACTGTAAACCTAAGAGAAATTGTTCTGTACAGTTTTCAAAATTCTAGTTAAAACTACTAGTTTTCTTCCCCCCCCCCCAACTAATCAGAAGGAAGAGAAGGCACAATAAATTTCTAATGCATACATCTGAGATGGTCTTTATGTACTCAGATGACATCTAAGATCACATGCTGGTGTAGACTCTGGTGCAGAAGAGGTAACATTTATACGTCAAGTGTGCAAGTCAGTGGAGAGTATGAGAAGCCCACTTACCTCTTATAAATATCAGATAGAGGAAAAATCAAAGAAGCCATATGCCGTCGTTGAGGGCCTCATCCTGTCCCATCAGATCAAGAGGTTTTGCAAGAGGCTTTCCACAGAGGCTGCTCTGAATTCTGAGAATCCACTGGAAATTCTTCCATTCACAAGTACCAGTGATTCTGAGAGAGGCTGGCCAGCACCTCAGCGCCAGGGGACCAAAGCAGGTGCCTGCTACAAGTTTTCTTTAGCTGCTCGGAGAATCTCTCTGGTTCCATAACTACCTCTGGAGAAAATATATTCTGTTTATTTTTCCACCTTCCAAATATCCTACTTGTGTCTGTCCTGGAAGATTCTATTCAGGAACACTACCAGAAAACTTGAGAGATTTCCCTTTCTTAAAGCAGATGTTATTGTTAGTAAATTGATAACAGACTTAGAAAGTTACTATTGTCCTTGGTTTTGGTATTCATTAGGAATTTATAAGCAATACAATAGTTCTAATTATATATTCTTAGCTAAGTAACATGAGAAGTAAACGAAAGTTAAGTTAATTTAAATGATAGAGTTGAGAATGAGAAATATTTGGAGACTGAAATATTAATATATTCAAATAAACCAAAATATATTAAACAAAAATAGCTGATGTGATTCCTTTTTCTTTTCCTTCTTGAAATCAAGGATACTCCTTCATGTTTATCTGAAGTACTAGTTATGAATGGCTCTGATAAATGTAGAATTTGGGGTCTGTCCACCTCTCTGTTTCCCCCGTTCCAGTCCAGACTTGCATCCTCTGCTGTGTGGAGTGCCGAATTAGCCTCCTCTCTGGTCTTCTTGCGACCGATGGTTCCCACCACCTCCTTCCAATCTGTTTCCACGTTATAGTTAGAGTGCTATTTTCAAATTGAAAAGTGTGATGATGTCATAGCCAGATATAACAAGAGTGTTCTGGAGGAGATATCACAGCTATTAGTTCTGGATTTTTTCATAAACCTTGGTTTAAGAGATGCAGTAACTTAGTTGAGCCTCTGAACTTCTGACTCTACTGCTATAATAAATTGTTTCAAGCAGGAGGAGCACACATACACCAGCTGATATACATTGAGTCAATCATTGTTGTGTTCTGTTTATCTCTTCTATGTGCTAATGCACCTCTTAAATAATTAGTGTATCAATAGGTACCTGGACTGAAATAAAATATACATTGAACTGAAAATGTGAAATTTCTCTCATTGTGAATATTTTTAAAAGTTTATTGAAGTGTTTTTGACATTCTTAAATACTTCAAACTATAACTTGTTAAAATTAAAAGTATAGCACTCTTGGGCGTATCCCTCAAGAAATCTTAGCAGAATAAACTACTTGTATTTCTGTCATGCGCCCAATGACCCAACCATCCCTTTCTTTCACTTACAAAGCAATCACTGCTATCTTTTCTGGCACTACTGATTAATCTGAAATTTTGGGATTTTTATACAAGTGAAATTATCACTGTTTTCTAAATTACCTCTTCTGTTGTCTACCTTTGCAATGTTAAAATTAACTGTCCATACTGATGTGTGTGTCTGTCTGTTTTATATGTATTTTCTTCCATAAACTTTGTGTCCATGCTGTGTTGAAACTGCTGTTTTAATATTACAGGTAAAAATATTACAGGTGAGCTATTCAACTACAGTTTACTTTCTTAAAAATGTTGTGAATATGTCCTAATTGAGTCAATGCTCTAAAAAAATTTACCTGTTTCCTTTTTGTTTCGTGAGTCTGTCCAGGTTGCTACATTATATTAATCATCATATTCTTTAGCTAGCTTTTGGAAGTCACAGTTTCTCAAACTTTCTGTTTTTCATGAACTTGACAGTTTTGAAGAATACTCGGTCACATATTTTCTAAGATTGTTCCTTGTGATTAAATTGTGTTATGGACCATTGGTAGGAAGACCAAAAAGTGACATTATCAGCACGTGTTGAGGTTAAATGCTATTTACGTGACTTTTCATGGTGATGATCAACTGACCCACTGACTAAAACAGTAGTAGTCACATTTTTCTATGTGAAATTCTTCTCTTATACTTTTACTCTTTGAAAGGAAGTCCATATTTAAGAATTGATGTTTAGGTTCTGCTTCCTGCACTGGAAATTATCTACAAATGTCCACTGGAGTTGCTCTGCATAGATTTTCCCTTTTACTTTTGTATATAGTTGTTTTTATATCTTTTATAATAGCATAGTAGTACTACTTATGTAAGTTAACTTAAACCGATATGACATTATTTGGATTGGTGCTGAATCGCCACTATGAATTCTTTCACTTGTCCATTTATTCCTTTGGTGTCACACCAGAGCTGTGCTTGTTACCAGGGCAGGGGGGGACCAAACGGTGAGTACTTTTTCAGTATCTAGTATTATGCAAAATGATTTAGATTTATTCTGTGCATTTCATACTTCAATTCTACAGCTTAGTTTTTCTTTTATATTTTATTGGAAAATGGCATAAAAATCAAAGTTCTGTGTGCTTGCTGTTCCTGTCATTATTAATTAATCAATTTTTTTTTGCCACTGAGGTGCTCCACTATTGAACAGTATACCCAACATTTTCTTTTTCTATTATTATTATTATTATTATTATTATTGTTGTTGTTGTTGTTGAAGAAACAGGGTCTGGTTGCGTTGTTACACTGCCAAGGCTGGACTTAGTTTTACCATCTTATTGCTTCACTATCCCACAGTTCTGGGATTAGAGGCCTGAACCTACAGACCCAGGTGTTATTTAAATATTGAATCAGATTTACTTTTTCTTTATCCTTTCTTAAATTTGAGTTTTTATTATATATTTCTAAGTTTGATGGATTCATGATGCATATTGGTCTACAGTTTGGTTTGGTCACTTATCTTGCTCAAAGAAAGTGATTTCTTTATTTTCTTTGCCATTTATATTGTCTCAGATTTTCAAAGCTGATATTCATTACCCTTCAAACTACTGCTTCTGAGAAACACAAAAAAATTACATAATAAGTGGTATAATTTTGGAGGCTGATATATCTGAACTATTCCTTGGTAATATATTAACAATCTGTTTAAAAAGAATCATACTATCTTATTTTTTCTGTATGTCAGTGCTAAAATATGAAAATACAAGATTGGAACTATTTTTCAAAATGATCACCAGATGTTGCGATAGATTATAGCCATCAATCAGCACATTGAGATCTCCACTGTCATCTTCACCATTTGAGATGTGCTGCATACTGCAGAGCACTTCCAAGGGAAATCTTGCTGATGACTGGATTAGTTTCTGGGGATCAAATGTACAATGAAATTTAGGAAGTTTTGTGTAGATAATGGAATAAGAACATATCATGAGATCATGTTTATCTTTTCAATTGCTTGGCTAAATTTTCCCAAGTATATTCTCTAATAAATGTATTTTGCATGATGTTTTATTATAAAAATGCTACAAAATTACAATACAAAGAATTTAAACCACTCAATTTCAAAAAATGTATAAACTTTTCATAACAAAGGCAATGTCAGGTTGGCAAATGGTAATGTTGGGTCACTTGGTCACTGAGATTGCTGCACATGAATTTTCCATTCCTTCTCTAAGGAACAGCAGGGTAGTATATTTTGTGCTATAGACTGTATCTTCTAAGGTCCCCCATATAAGGATAACACAATTTGTGTGTGTGTGTGTGTGTGTGTGTGTGTGTGTGTGTGTGGTACTGGGGATCAAACTCACGACTTCGTGCTTGCCAGGCAGGCACTTATGCCACTGAGCTAAATCCCCAACCCTCACAACACAAATTTTTTTTAAAAATCATGCTGTTTTTCATTTTATAAAGTCTGTATGTGTTTTGAATATACATGTATTATATACATATATTCAAACGTATTCAAATAACAAAGTACAAAAAAATTCACATTTTCAGAAAGTAAAACAGGGGTAAAAATTTCATGATGGGAAATAAAAAATCAACTATAGTTATTTTAATACAAATATGTGAAAATGAGACCTTTTCCTTTTTCCATAATAGTTACAAAGTTCCCACATCATGTATTTGATGAAACATTGAAATATTGCCTTTAAGATCAAGAATCAAACTTAAAGGGCTGGAGATTTAGCTCAGCAGCATAAGCGCCTGCCTTGCAAGCAGGCAGTTGTGAATTCGATCTCTGGTACCAATAAAAAGGAAAACGACAAAAAAAAAAAAGAATCAAACTTAAACTTATTATTTCTGCCATCAATTGGTTATAAAATAACAAGCATGAAAGAATATATGTGAAAAACTAAGCAATGTCAGTCTCCCAACTATAGTAATTACTATTCACAGACAAACCACCATAAAAAGCACAAATATATTAAATTACTCCTTGTGTCATAGTAGTGTACTTTTTAAAAAATCAGTTTTGGCTTATACATCTTGCATTTTTCCAGCTGCTGAGAACAAACTATGTGTTAAAATTGTGGTCAGATCCAGGAGCAGTAATCTTAGCTCCCTGGGAGGCTGAGGCAGGAGTTTAGCCTGGAGAATTGTAGGACCCTATCCTAAAATGAAAAATCAGTGGACTGGCGATGGATATACAACTCGGTGTGAGACCCGGTTTCAATGTCCTGAGATGGAAAAATTATAAAAACATAGTTACTTGTGTAGTTCTAGAATTGTTATCACGTTTAGTTAAAATAGTACGTCCTTCAATATTTCCCAAAATCTTCTAACACTAATTTAGATTCCGTAGCAATATCCTCCTAACACCTAAACGACTCCCTGTGGTTTGCAGTTTCCTTTGATGAAGCACACACTAATAAATAATATTCTTAAAATTTGTGTTCCTGATGGTCTGTAAAGACAACTAATTTATTTACAGATGAAAGGCATGCCAACATGCCAACATCCTGAAAATAGTTTGAATACAATGTACCAACTATAATCTAGATACAAAAGTGTCAAACGATAAATTAAAAAAATTGCTTCTAGTTTTAACAAAGTAGAAATTAGCATTTGTAATACAAATGTACAAGGTGTGCTGATAAAACTATAATAAATTATTGAAAGCACAAAAAGTTTCTCAAAATTTAGTGTGCTATGTGAAAAAATTAGAATTGTTAACATCATAAAACCCAGAATTTGTCTTTGAAAGTATATAAATTCAGCAAAATTCAGAGACAATTCCTAACACTTTCCAACTTACTTCCCCAGGTGCAATTTGACAAGATGTTTCCAAATCTAGTTGAAAACCAAATGTTCAAGAAGAACATATGATATATACATATAAATACATGTATGATATATATGTGATATATACATCTGTCTATATCTAATCTATATCTATATATAAATGATATCTACTAAATAGAGTACCAGGTCAAAAGAGAACCAACTCCGTATACTCACATAGACCCATGTAATATATGACAGATGGTGTTGGAAACCATCAGAAAACACAGACTTTTAAGTAAGTGATGGAGCATTGCATACCTTGCCATCTGGAAACCAAAATAATAACAGGACCATATTTTTCATGATTAGCAGCAAATACAGATCCCAAATGCTTTGTGACTTGTTGTAAAAGAGAAATTCAGAGACTTAGTAGTCAGTCTCTTCATGATCTTGATGTTTGAGATGATTTTGTAAATGAAATGACTTTGTCCACCATAGTGAGTTTGCCCTCTGGTCTTGTGAAGGCCCCTTAGGTTGTTTCCATAACTTTGGTGCTGTGAATGATGCTGCAGTGAGCACAGAAATGCAGAAATCTCTTGGAGACCTTGCTTTCCCCTAAATCTTTTGGCCACAATCCAGAAA